TTTGTTTTTTAGGGATGCATCCAGTTGCACCTTTTCATTTAAAATATATTTCCGTGAAGTAATCTCAAAAGATTACTCACTTCAATAAAAAATAAATAAGGGAAATGAAACCTCTTCTCGCATGTTGCACTTTGTGTAATTGTTCTCTTCGACAAAATACTGCCTTGAACTCAATTTTGGTATAAATATAAAGAAGCCATATTTGGTTCTTAAATGGATATTTTTTAAACACCTAAAGCTAGGTAAAGCCTATCTCTTGATATAGGCTCTTAAATTTGGCAACTTTTAGAGACCGACCGTGCTTGGGCTGTATATCCAGTCAAGGTCGCTAAACTCTCATTATCCGTTTAGAGATTTTCTGAAAATACGATGGTTACTGTCTCATTAGAAACTAAAACCTTATCAAATATGGTGGCCTTCGGCTGTCATCTGCTCTTTTCGGGTTGTTGTCTCTTTGACATATTCATCATTTCCATTCACCAATTTTAAAATAACTAAAAATATGATAAACAGTTGTCAGATCAATATTCATTTAACAAGCCAGTGCGTTGATACAGGTTATATTCTACTGAATTTACTATATCCGTTATTATTACGTAATTATATAAGTCCCGTGTCCAGGTAAAAATAACAATTTGTGGTTTGTATGTCAGGTGAAAGTGACAACGGGTGGTATGTATACTAAAATGTTTATCGTCTTCCATTATACATGAGGGTGTGGATGGGGGTTTATAGAATAGAAAATTATTGACCAAAAAATAAAGAATATAAAAAAATAACCAGACAAATATATAGAAAAGAAAATGATGAGGTACTAGAATATATGGAATAAAGAATGATCGACAAAAGGTATAACGATTAGAAAAAAATGCCTAAAATGATAGAATACAGAAATAATGAATCCCTATTCAGACCCTCATAATCTGACGATGACATTTAGCTTTAGGATAATTATGGGCATGTGATACAGTTTTAGACCCACAGTGATTTTTTACAAAAGTTCACATATATACAAGCTAATTTTTACAAAATCAATTTGTATATGTAATAAAAATTATATCTTCATGTGCTGAATTTAAAAGACAAATGGGTTTGAATTATTCGACATGTACTTATAACATTTCGGTTTCTTGGACATTTTTGTCCTTTGAACAGACATCCTTAACTTTTTTGTTTCAAAAGATAAAGATATGCGGATTTCGGTAAAGAGATTAGGAATATCTTCGTTACAAAATTGGGCTCTACATTTGTGTAACAATTCTTTGTTAATATTTAATTTTTGTGAAAAGAAATTGATACAAGAAGAAAAAACGGTATTTTTGTTGTATATTTATCTAGTTAAAAAAAAGTCGGTAATTTCTTCATAAAAGTTGCAACGAATAATCTTCATACAGTATCAAGCAAAATGTCATGTCTAAAATGAGGGGGCCATAACTGATAACACCTTTTCCTTAAAAAAATGAAAAAAATAATTATTTGGATAAGAAAATAACCCACATATTTAGATATATTAGAATAAAAATATTTTTTAAATTTTTTAAAAATCATGTAATATTCATCGGTTTATGATTAAATAAAAAATATAGAAAATTGTTAAGTTGTTTTTAAGGAAGGAAAATAATGTTTGTCCCGAGAAAAAAAGCCCCCCCCCCTTATAAATGATCATTAATTTACCTTAGTGGGGGCTTAAATTTGGAGACCGATCGCGAGGCCTGACTGCCATAAACAACAGATAAAGAACAGCAAACAGTGGATACACCAATTGATTTGGCGAAAGAAAACGGCGGACACAAAATGATTGCACTGAATAATTTCAACTACCATTGAGATCGTTTTTATTCAAATCTCCTTATCAAATTAGAAATGCATTTTAAAAACCTTGGGATATCTTTTACAGTTTGGAATTGGAATTGGAATTAAAAATTGCATTTCCCAAAGAGTTGCAGGTAAAACCCCGAGAATCTCACCTCCTAGAAATTTGATGTGCCAGGATGTTTGAAAATATATATGAATTTTATTACATACTTGAATTTGTATAAGGAATATAAAAAGATTCAGTATGTTTACTGTACAAACAAACAACAGACACCAAGTGATGGATACAATTGTGGCTTATATTGTTTAATTCATTTTTACTGAGAGCAAAATTTGATTGATTGATTATTCATTGGTTGTTTAAACGTCCAGTGGCAAACATTTCATTCATATTCAGGACGAAAAGTCGTTTCAGAAGTATATTATGAAGTATTTGGTATTACAAATGTTTAAATTTTCTCATTATTTGGTAAATTTCATTTTCTTAGCTATTTCTAATTAATTTGTACGAATCAGATTTTTCTGACAAATTATATGTTTTGCTCTACATTAACTCATACGATTCTGATAATATAAGGAACATTGTAACTTAAGTAAAAAAAAAAAGAGATTATGATTGTTTAATCAGTTGTTATGTAAGTTCGCTCGTGTCAGTCGGATCACTGATTTTCGTCAATATCAAGGAAAAACCGGCACGTTCCAAATATTGTTCAACTACTCATTTAATGGTGATTCTTTTTCTTTAAAAATTGGAATTTATGTAATAAAAATCTATCTATCTCTACCATAGTATGAAAACAGAGTACAAGTCCTTTCTAGTCCTCAGTGGCATATTATAAGTCCTTAGCAGTGTTTAGAGGTACAGGCAGAAAACAGTCGAAGGCCACCAATGGGTAGAAAATCCCGCACCGAAGACGTTTTTCAGCTGGTCCCTAAACAAAAATGAATTTTAGTTCAGTGATAATGGACATCATACTAAACTTCGAAACATACAAATATTTCCTAAATTTCGGAACGTAAACATATGATAATTAATTAGTTAAGGTAACAAATTTAGGCAGATAAAAAGAAAGGGGGGGGGGGGGGGTCAACGCTGGAATCGCCACTCTTTAAAACGTAGCAATTTATAAATTATTTATATTAAGTAGAATTATAAAATCGATGAGTTTTATAATTTGACAACACTCATTGATATTGAAAAATACTATACTACAATTAATTTATTTAATACATGGAATGTTTAGTAAAACTGTCGACCAATCAACACAGAAAGCGAGATATCTAAAATTTGTATACCCTTATAGATTTTCATTATCATACATCAATTTTAAATGCAATTCCAAATAAAATGGCTTTGAGAACCGTGTATTAAGCATTTATCGTTCATTCGTCAATGAATCATTCACCGTGCGTGAATCGTGCGTGTATCGTGTGTTCATCATTCATCGTGCATCGTGCGTGTATCGTGCGTTCATCATTCATCATTCATTTTTCGTTAATCCTCCGTGTAACGCTCATCGCTCATCGTGCGTGTATCGTGTATCGTGCATTCACCGTGCGTGTATCGTGCATTCACCGTGCGTGTATCGTGCGTGCGTGTATCGTGCGTGTGGTCAGTTTGAATTTTAGAAGGTCTGTAGAAGGAAAAGGTATGGGCACCTCAATCTTCCTCTCACCTGAACAGAATATGATGAAATTAAAAATACAATTAATACTTTCCAATAAATGACCTGAGCTAATTTGATCAAAGAGATTGGGTGTGAGAAGCAGTCATCTTCTACTTCTGGTAAGCTTGTTATGTTAGTTAGACGTTCCTTGGTGTATGATTGTCGGGATCAGACCAAAAACTTTCGTAGAAAGTACATATGATGCACAAGCCACTATGCTCAAGTCGACAACACGATCAAAATTATAGAACTACTAAGCGAAGCCTTATCTAGCGGTCTCTGCGTAGCAGAGGAAGAGATTCAGTCCCCCACGATACGATTGGCTATTGAGTGTTGAGTTGCAGTTTGAGATGTTAATGAAAAACGGATGCATGAATGACAAGTGAAGTTAACCTTTTCCTTGATTATTCAAAATCATGATGACGCTGTTTCCACAAAGACCAATAAACTAAGAGACTGATGTTCAGCGTGTTGCAGTGTTACTTTATTTTAAGTAACGAAAGCACACAACATTATCTTGACATTTTAATGTTAGTGTGAACTCTGCCAGAAAATTAATGATGTCTGCTGTCTAGTCAGAGTCGGATTAAGAATACATACACCAATATTTATGGTGAAAGAACTTCTCATCTATAAACCACGTTATGGTCAATTTCTGTCGTCCTCACTCAAATATGTAAATAGTGCAATAGTTAAATATTTGATATTTGATATCGCAATTGTTAAATATTTGATGTTGCGATAGTTAAATATTTGATAGTGCAATGGTTAAATATTTGATTATTAACAGATGAATTGTTCTCTTGGTCTCATCTGACAAAACTAAACCACAGAACAAAGCATAATATTGCATTGATTTTGGAATATTTGAAAATTTTTAATCTGTAGAAATTATATATTATATAACAGGGGATGGGGTATAATTGAATGCTTAAAATCAAAGTATTACCAAGGCAAGGATAGTTACGTCTCGTTTACTTTCTATCAGCTCAAGTTCGTATTGTTTCGTATTCAATTCTTTAAAATTCACATTCTTAACAGGTTGGTAAAAGCTACTAGTAAATCAAAAGAATCATAAACATTTTCCTGTCAATGGTGATATAACGACCTTTTCAATCACTGCAACAGCTTTCTTAATAGTTAGCTAGGAAGCTTAATTACATTTGTACACAGAAAAGTGTAATAAAACGCCTTTACTTTGATCATTTTATTGTTATTTTCGATTTTTTTCCGCGCATAACCTGTGTTTACAAAAAGAAAGCTATTACAGTAGGTTACGTTGTAACCAATAAAATCTTGTAGAAATTTCTTTGCTTTCTTGAAATTGCTGCTTTAATTTAAGTCTGTGGAATCCATGAAACAGTTATTTGAATAATAGATCGATAGAACTGTTCGTACTACCTGAAACCAATTTCACTGCTCTTGCCTGTCGTGACGATTTAATTACGTCTTTAGCCGATTTGTTGATTGAATGGCATAGTGAATTATTCTTAGTATCCTCAGAAGAGCTGCACGAGCCTGCAATGGTCAAAGTGATGATATATTGGCTCCCGTGAGGGACTTTGTCATTTTAAATGAACGTGGTTGGTATTTCAACTCACTGGAGCTACGTATAAAACTAATGAAGACAAGTTGTCAGAGTTGATTGGCTTCCCATACTACAGAGGATAGCTGTCGTATTTACTTTTCGGAAGGTAAATAAGCTTTCATATATACTTCATTATTTGTAATATTCATCTTACTGATTTATATTATTATTTACTAAATTTTAATAACAAGAAAAAAAAATTGTATACAAATATTTCCTTATAAATTTTTTAGTCAATATCGACTTTTGATAGAAGAAGACTGTATATAATTTGAACATCTCTATGGTAGTTTCTCTATTAATAAATGCACGGCAATAATTTTTTAAAACTAATTGTATATTTATACAAAATATTCCACCTTTAAACCATTCTGATTTATGTCATATATTAAGACTTTCAAGGTGTTGTGCGCGCAGTTATCGTGTACCATTGAGTCAGTGCCGCTGCTAGTGGACTATTAGTCAACTAGCACGTGCTTCTCGTGTCGATTCGATTGAAATGATACATTTTGTATGTAAATTTCCAGTTCATAAGGTTATCTATTTTTGCTAAAAATAGGATTGAAACTCATTCAAACAAACTATACCTTAGACAGTTTTGTGTGTTCGATTTCGTCCCCTTTATTATTCCGGCTCTGGAGAAACGTTTTATATTCATTGACTTTCAAAACTTTTGGTCACGAGCGTACCTGGTGAATGTTATTCCGGAAACACGTGGTGTGAACACGGAAATCATGTCAATTTTTGCATTCGGATTTGGTCTTAGCCATAAATGATCATAAATGCAGATTCTAATAAGCAACGTTAAAATCGGGTCTGTAAATTGAGTAAATCGGGTGTACTCAAAACCCAATACCCGATATCCTCGTACAGATTTTGTTTAATTCGAGGCAATGTATGTTTTTTACATATTTATAATTTTGTGACGGTCTCATAAACAATTTGTTCATGTTTAGTATTTGTCCTCTGTAATATTTTCACTCCTCTTGCAATACGGCGCGTTAACAAAAATCCTTAACTTATCTGATAAGTGTGAAATTTCGATTCATATAATCATTTTGGTATAAATTTACTAAAATTGCAATGTATCCATAGAATTGCTAGAAAAGATCTATCAGACAGGAACTTAAAGTTGATGAAAATAAAGCAATATTTTGAGCAGCCGTTTTGCCTTTATATGTCAAATTTTCTTATTAAAAGTAACAAATGACATTAAATGTTTCATTGGTTGACCTTTCACTAATTCTATGCTCTATTAGGCCTTTTGAGTACTAGTTTGGTACTCGAATTTTATTTTTCGGTCTCCCAAACCATTGGTATCGATGAAGGTTCATGAAAATTAAATCCGTAAATAACGTTTACATTACAAACAAAAACAATAAATCCTACCGGAAGTCAGATTTTGGTATTGGTATGATTTTGTTGCTTAAGATTTTAAGATTATGAATTATGTAGTTTTAGTAAAATTAAAGGTGCAACTTCCTTCGGGACGATCGTCCAGAGCATGCATGGATTATTTGCCACGGACGTAAATCAATTATGTTATGTTTTGAACCAATTTGTTCTAATGCTAAAGAACGTTTTAGCTACATGGGATCAGATGATCTACTGTCGTAAATTTGCGTCCGTCGTCCGGCCGGATGGTGACCTATACTTGTTTACGTATTATTTATTTGGACTCTGGAGGCTAGTTGTCTTATTAGCAATAATACCTCATCTATTTATTTTTATGTGGCGAAATGTTTTTAATCTTTGGAAATTGATTATTGGAAGACCTACAAACGAACATCATTTGAAGTTGACTGAATGGCAAAAATTAAGGCATTGGTGTCCCAAAACTCTATTTGAACCCTTTGAAAAATCACATTTTAAATCATATCTCTTGGCAGAAATGCCTTAGTTCCAATTGTAACGGGGTTTTTCTTCTGTGCGATTTGGAACTATACATTATTTCGGATCTATGTATCCGGGATCATAATCCATGTTGTTGTCCGTTAACATAGGGAACTAGCTATTGTAAACTTTCTCCGTAAGCTCACTAAGAACTGTCTATATAACGAAGTCTGTTTAATGTTCACATGTTTAATCGTATAGATATTCATAAAACAGTACATGTATAATATAAATATATAGGTTCGAAATTATAATTTCCAATTTAACTTGTTACGTCATTCTCATCTATATTACAACTGTTACTTCATTCTCGTCTATATGACAACTGACCAATACATAAAGTTTCTCACAAGATCGTGCTTTAACATCTGTTCTCAAATTAGATTAAACACTGCTTTATGGTCTTACAGTATTTTGATAAACTTCTAAATGTTATTGCAACTGTACTGTGCAACCCATGTACCGTATAAACTGTCACATTAATCAAGAGAAAGATCATTAAACTGATTAACATCAAATCTTTGATGTAATTGACCACGCCACACAATTATAAAAAAACATGTTCACCAGAGACAGTTTTTTGTATTTGTAATTGCAAGAAAAAAACCTTTTCCTCTGAGATTGCAAGGCTACATATTTTTTATTAGCTCACCTTTCCTTGAAAAGGAAATGTGAGCTTTTGCCAACACTTGGCGTCCGTCGTCGTCCGTCGTCCGTCCGGTGTAAACTATTACCAACATCTTCTCTGAAACTACTGAACCAATTCCAACCAAACTTAAGCCGAATGATTCTTGGGGTATCTAGAATAAAGTTTGTGTTTTATTTTGTTTCATCAATAAACATGGCCGCCATGGCTAAAAATAGAACATAGGGGGAAAATGCAGTTTTTGGCTTATATCTCAAAAACTAGAGCATTTAGAGCAAATCTTGGGTAAAAATGTTCATTAGGTCAAGTTCTATCAGCCCTGAAATTTTCAGATGAATCTAACAACCCATTGTTTGATTGCTGCCACTAAATTGGTAATTTTAAGGAAATGTAGCAGTTTTTATACGACCGCAAAAATTTTTGCGGTCGTATATTGGTATGACGTTGGCGTCGTCGTCGTAGTCGTCGTCGTCGTCCGGCGTCGTCCGAAGACACATTGGTTTTCGCACTCTAACTTTAGTTTAAGTGAATGGATCTCTATGAAATTTTACCATAAGGTTCAATACCACAAAAGGAAGGTTGGGATTGATTTTGGGGGTAATTGTTTCAAAATATTAGGAATTAGGGGCCAAAAAAGGGGCAAAAAACAAGCATTTTTCTAGTTTCATGACAATAACTTGTGTGAAAGTGTATGGATCTTTCTGAAATTGTACTACAAGGTTTCATATCACAAAGGGAAAGCTGGAATTGAGTTTGGGGGTAATTGCCCGAAACGTTTAGGAATAAGGGGCCAAAAAGGGGCCAAAAATAAGCATTTTTCTAGTTTCCAGACAATAACTTGTGTTCAAGTGTATGGATCTCTCTGAAATTGTACCATAAGGTTCCATATCACACAGGGAATGCTGGGATTGATTTTGGGGGTAATTGCCTCTAAAGTTTAGGAATTAGGGGCCAAAAAAGGGGCAAAAAACAAGCATTTTTCTAGTTTCATGACAATAACTTGTGTGTAAGTGTTTGGATATTTCTGAAATTGTACTACAAGGTTCCATATCACAAAGGGAAAGCTGGAATTGAGTTTGGGGGTAATTGTCCGAAACGTTTAGGAATTGGGGGCCAAAAAGGGGCCAAAAAACACATTTTTCTAGTTTCCAGACAATAACTTGTGTTCAAGTGTATGGATCTCTCTGAAATTGTACTGCAAGGTACCATACCACAAAGGGAAGGCTGGGATTGAGTTTGGGGGTGATGAATCATAAGGGGGTTCAAAAAATTTGGGGGGGGATTTTTTTTATTTTTTTCCTTTTTTTCTTTTTTTCCTTTTTTTTTTTTCTTTTAAAATTTTCTATTTTAAGTTGGTTATTTCTGATTTATATTTAAAAGCAAATAATAATGATATGGTAGGAGATACACACTAAACAGGATGTGTAAATTATTATATAATAAGTATTGTGCAATAGCAAGAAATTTTCAATTGCACAGTATTGCACAATAGCAAGAAATCTTCAATTGCACAGTATTGCGCAATAGCAAGAAATCTTCAATTGCACAGTATTGCGCAATAGCAAGAAATATCCAATAGCACAATATTGCGCAATAGCAAGAAATTGTCAATTGTGCAGTATTGTGCAATAGCAAGAAATATTCAATTGCACAGTATTTTGCAAAAGAAGATACTTCGTATAAATTGCTTATTTCTTGACCAATTGCAATAGGGTTTTATTCTTGAATTCTTGGGGTTCTTTAATATGCTGAATCTAACCGTGCATTAAGTTTTTGGATTTTGGGCCCCGTTTTTAAATTGGTCCACATTGAGGTCCAAAGGGTCCAAAATTAAACTTTGTTTGATTTCATCAAAATTGAATTCTTGGGGTTCTTTGATATGCTGAATCTAACCATGTATTTAGATTTTGGATATTGGACCATAATAGGTGAATGTCCAATTTAAATTTTTTAAGTTCTTAGACCACATTCATTCTGTGTCAGAAACCTATGCTGTGTCAAATATTTAATCGCAATCCAAATTCAGAGCTGTATCAAGCTTGAATGATGTGTCCATACTTGCCCCAACTGTTCAGGGTCCGACCTCTGCGGTCGTATCAAGCTGCGCCCTGCGGAGCATTTTATTTGTTATTATCTTGAATATTATTATAGATAAAGATAAACTGTAAACAGCAAAAATGTTCAGCAAAGTAAGATCTACAAAGAAGTTTATATGACCAAACTTGTCAATTGAACCCTTAAGGAGTTATTGCCCTTTAAAGAAATTTTTACACAATTTGTTTATCATGTTTTCAAACTTTAAAAAATCTTCTCCTCTGAAACTACTGAACCAAATTAAACCAAACTCAAGCTGAATGATTCTTAGGTTATCTTAAATAAAGTTTGTGTTTTATTTTTGTTTCCTCAGAAAACATGGCCTCCATGGCTAAGAATAGAACATAAGGTAAAATGAAGTTTTTGACTTATATCTCAAAAACTAAAGCATTTAGAGCAAATCAGACAAGAAGTTAAAGTACTCATTAGGTCAAGGTCTCCCTGCCCTGAAATTATCAGCCAAATCGGGTATC